GGAGCACAGTAATGTCTCATTACTGCGTGGCGGCAGAATTAGGGAATTAGGCTTCCCTGGTGAACTCTAACACAAGGAGCTCTACTACTATTAAAATTGTTGAAGTAAATGGAGTATACCGTTGTATTGAAAGTACTAATCCAAAACTAAATTGACATCCCGGCTGATAGTCGCTGTAAATATCTTCCGGACATGTTGGATTCACGGAAGCGTACAGAGCGGACGTGTTGTTAGTATATCTCTCACTCGTAACGCGTAAACAATAAATCAACTATTTACCTGCACAGCATAGGGTACAAACTACGCTTCTCCACTGAGTAACCAGTAGCAGCACCTCCTCGAGTAAAAGAGACGGGCTCTTATTTTAGAACTCAATCGCGCAACAATTTAAACAACATCTTGTAAGTAAACTGTCACCTTATATCAATATGAGCGTTCAACATTCTCCTATTGGAAGTGGCTTAAATATTGAACGAAGTGATTCTTACCCAGATATAGCTTGCAAAAGCACAACTTGCGATTTTACTGAAAAAGCACCGATAACCTTTCGCAATAAACGAAAGCTAGCAGAGAATGACGAAATTAAGTCAGATATTGCGTAATTAAATCTGAATTCACTGAAATGAGAAAGCAGATGTTATCGATGCAAAATCAAATGAGCGAATTGATGGTATGCCTTACCTCAAATAATAACATGCATATCGAAAATTTTAACAACTTAAGCAAAGATATATCAGTTATAAAGGAACAAGTTAACAACATAAAATCAACTACAGAAAAACTAACTTCTGAACAAGATAATTTGAAGAAAGAAATAACAAGCATACATGATTTTAGAAATAGAGTCGATACAGTCTACACTTAAGCAAATAAATTTAGTCTCGAAATGTTCATCATCCACTTTTCTACAGACTCAGGAAGAAATAGTTACTGAGATTAGCGAACGTAACGTGAGATGCAAGAACATAATTATATCAGGTATAGCTGAACTAGTTTCCACCTTCAAGATAGACGGGAACAAGATAAAACTGAACTCTTTAGAATACTAAGAAAAATTTTTTCTGGTTGTCCTGAACTGGAAAGAATTATCCACCTGGGAAAGTACCAACCTGATAAAAAACGATTATTAAAGTGTGCTTCACTTCTCAAGAAACGGCTCTGCATATACTAAAGAAAAAGAGACTAATGAAACAGAATGACATAAAGATCTTCTCAGATAAAACATCTCAACAACAAGCATAAATAAAGGTACTTAAAGAGGAACTTGATAATCGCACCAGTAATTGTGAAAAAATCTCTGTATAAAATATGTTAAGGGTGTGCCTAAAGTAGTTACTGCGACTCCAAAAAACTCTAACCCCTAGGTGTGCCGAACATCAACAAGAAAAATTATAAATGTAATTCATATGAAGTAATCAGTGATTATAGTAATATTAAACCAAACAAAAAGTCTCTTAAATGTCTATATGCCAACACTCGAAGTATTTTCAAGTCTGGTAATTTTGATGAACTAACATGTATAATTCAGTCTTTTAACAGTATTATTCATATAGTTATATTATCAGAAACATGGATAAGTTCTGATGATGAAGCCAAGAGACTGTACTTACCAGGATACACTCATTACTACAACTATAGACAATACACTAAGGGAGAAGGAGTCTCAATATTTGCACACAACAATCTTACACATAGCTTAATTGAAGAACAGTCTGTAAACGACAATCCCTATTTTTGGATACACATAGACAAATTTGACTTAGACATAGGTGCAATCTACAAACCTGGGCGAACAAATAACAATGATTTTCTAAACTATTAATCGACACAGCTAGAAAAAAGGAAAAGAGCTATAATATGTGGAGATTTTAATTTTGATTTATTTAGTTCAGATAAAACGGTTTAAAGTTACAAGGAGACAATTAGAGAGTGTGGTTACTACATAATTAACAAAATAAAAAAACGCTACAATACCCGTGCAACAGATACTACTAGTACTATACTAGACCATGTATGTTCAAACATAAAACGGAATCCGTTTCATATGGCCATAATAGAATCAAGAATGTCAGATCATAAGCAGATTTATTTTGAAGTAAAGAATTACAAAGCTGAACCAGTAAAGACCATGAAGTACGATGCCATAGACTACGAAATACTTTATAATACATATGAAACAATAAAAAATAAAGACTATAAATATAATACCCTAGAACAAAATCTAATATCCAGCATTAACACAAGCAAAATTACCAAAATAAAAAGAAATCCTCCGGAACAAGACTGGAAAAAGAAAGAAATATTAGATGCAATAAGGAGTAGAAACGAAATGTGCCAAAACCCAAAAGACGAAAAGATAAAACAAGATTATTTAACGAAAAGAAAAAGCGTGGTGGATATAATCCAAAAATCGAAAGTTGAATACTATTACAAGGCTTTCGAAAATTGTAAAAACAAACCTAATAAAATGTGGTCACATATAAATACCCTCTCCCGTAACAAAGTAAAGGAGACCGCTGTTCTACCCAAATTACAAATTGGTACAGATGTAATCACTGATGAAAGAGAAATCTGCGAATGTTTCAATCATGTTTCAATGATTACTTTTCGAATATAGGAAAAGTCTTAGCAAATGAAATAACAAAGAAGTATCACACAAGAATAAGTCCGGTACCTGAATCTCACGCACAGAAACTATCACACTTATCACCAGCAACCACAGATGAAGTTTTAAAAATTTGTAATCATTTGAATAGTAACACGTCCTCAGGTGTTGACGGCATAAGCACTAAAGCAATTAAATGTGTTAAAAAATTGCTCACTGAAGACTTAACAAAATGAGCGAGCAATTTTTACGTACGTTAAATACGTTTTACGTTATCAGGGAATATTCCTTGATAACGTAAAACTTGCTAAAGTCAGTCCTATTTTTAAGTCGGGAAATAGAACCAATCCCGGAAACGATCGCCCAATATCAGTTCTGCATGTTCTATCAAAAATTTTCGAAAAGACCCTGTACAATAGGGTTGAAAAATATTTAAACGCAATTAATTTCATCTACAGTAAACAATATGGTTTCAGGCCAAAGTCGAACACTCTCTCACCAACAATAGATCTTATCACTAAGTTAAAATCTAATCTGGATAAGAAAAATATTGCATTGGGTATATTCATAGATCTAAAAAAGGCCTTTGTACTGTAAGTCACGATATATTATTGGAGAAAGTAAATAACATTGGCATAAATGGAACAGTTTATAACATGATACAATCATACTTATCGAATCGTAAACCGATTTTAAAAATAGGAAATCAAAGTCAACCTAAAACCATTACTTACGGCGTCCCCCAAGGGTCTGTTATGGGACCATTATTATTTTTAATATACATGAAATTGGTCTTAAAGGTGACGTCACTCTATATGCTGATGACACATGTTTATTTTACTTTGGAAGTTCTATAGAAACTATTGTTGCTGAAGCGCAGAGTGATCTTAAATTACTTAATGCGTGGTTTCAGTATAATCTTCTAACTATTAACGTCGCTAAAACAAATTATGTAATTTTCAAACTAGAAACAAAAGAATTTCGGATCATGAACCATTAACTTTAAATAACTAAAAAATAAACAAAATCGATTGTGAGAAATACTTCGGACTCATTGTTGATAGCAAACTGACGTGGAGGCCGCATATTGAAAAGATTAAATCTAAACTATCGTCTCTTACTGGAGCCATAAGAGGTGTTACCCGATGTCTTCCACACAGGGTGCGTTATTTTGTGTACAATTCTTTGGGGCTCAGCGGCTAAAACAAATCTAAATTTAATACAACGAGCACAAACCAAACTAATAAAGGTACTCTTTCAATACAATTACCTCACACCTACTAAGTATATATACGAAAAAACAAAAATTTTAAGTGTTAGCCAAACATACATTTACTATACTTGCTTATTGATACGTAAAATTTTAATTAGAAATATGCACACTCAAATAAGTTTCACAAAAAAGAAACAAATACAAAAAATGCAAATGATTTCGTACTGCGGCCATCAAGAACAAATTATGGTAAAAGAAATATCTTATATGAGGGAGCGCAACTATATGATTAATATTTTTAATAACTTTTAAAATTTAATAACTTCCCAAAGATATTAACAAAACACAATCCCTAATAACATTTAAAAAACTTCTGAAATATTACTTATTATTAAGGGTAGCAAATATATGGGGAATGAAGAATACTTACATAAAAAAAAATAAAAAAAATAAAAGTATTTATTTATTAAAATATAAATAAAATAAAATTAAATTAAATTAAAAACAAATAAATAAATTACTAGCACTAATAAAAGTAAACATACCACCTGTACTGATATACATTTTTTATTATTTGTTGTCTTTGGTAAAAGTCTAAAAGAAATAAAATTTTAATTAATATACTGAGCCACATCTAGTATAAGCAGTGGGCGTAGTCTGTTAGTACACATCCATGGTTGCGCTTATAGTTATCACTTGAGATCGTGTTGTCGGTTATTATATTAGAATGCGGGTAAAACTTTATTATTTTATAGTTGAACTACCGTCCTTGTACACTTTCTAAAGAAAAATAAAATTGTAATAATATTTTTCTCTGTGTTCTCATGTAAGTGAGTTTCTTAGTGAGAATAAATGTCTTAATCCACGCATAAAACGTTTGTTTCTCAGAATGTCTTTCGCAAAATGTATCCTTCCTGGCTGTTGACTAAGAAACCAAAGGGATTTACTGTTAATACAGCTTTTATAAACCGAGAATATTCAGCTTGATCCGTTGTTTTGCCATTGCTAGTACTTTTGTTTAGGCACATCTATGCCGTTTTTAGTATTTATAGCTACTTCTTTGAAATTATTATGCTATTTAAAAATGTAGAGCTATGTAGTTTGTAAACAATACCTCAATTCCGAATGGTAATTTTGAATAGCTTAGAGGTCAATAACACTTAATAACACTTATGTTTCCAGAGCCACGTATACAGTGGGGTGCCGACGGTCGAGTACGATGAAAAGCGTGATGAAAAGCCCTGGCAGCGGGTTAATACATATATATAATTTTATATTTTCATGTATATTTATTATTCCATTAACTTTGCCTTCTAAATCTTCAATGCGACGAAGTTAATTAATGAAGGTATTCACACGAGCTTCATTACAACTTCCGTCATTAGAACTGTATATTTTGATAATGAAAGCCATGGGAGTGATCCGTTTGGCCTTTTCAGCATTGTCAACGGTAATTGTTAACAAATGTCCATTTGGCCCAACTACAGTTTTTAGCTCTTTCTCTCTATCTATGTTATATTACGAATTGGTATTTAACCGATTTGTAGACAAGATATTTTGCATCTCCAATGTAGTCGTAATGTAGCTCGTTTGACTACGCATTTAGATTGAAAGCGAGTTGAGAGTAAAAGTGGTGTAACCCTTAACATTCACAGAACCCATAGACCTGTAGCAGTCGCCAAATGAATAATTATATTGTGATTGGGAAACTCATTTATTTGATTCGATACTTGCGTCTTTATGCTATCTAACGCTATTTCATAATTTCTTTACTTGCACCAAGATGTGCCTGAAATTCAGAAGACAATTTGACATGCCACGTCTGGTGGCTGCTGTTGACTGGTGATGGTGTTGAACCAGTATGTTAACGTTACTCGCAATTTGGCGAAGATCTATCATACATTAGCAATCATAATTATTGTTATCGATAGTAGTCCTTTTTTTTATACATCTTAAGACTTGATTTGTATCTGAAGATTTGACAATTAGTTTTTTTATAAATTGGTTGAACTGGCTGAATTATCCCCTTTGAAACCTTTAAAACTTTTGCTATACTTTTGGTTCTGTGTAATGCAAGGCTAAATAACATTTTTAATAAATGGAGTTTTATTATTAAAAATACACCACCTTTTCTCTCAGTACTTGCAACATACATTAATACTTTCTTATATCACAATATAATGTCTACTAATTCCATCTTGCATTTCGCCTCATGTTGAATTCATTTAATCTTCACATTTTTGGATTAGATATAATCATGGGCTTGTAGTGTTTTATCTGCAACATAAATTTTGCAATATTCATTCGTAAGCTGTAAATAAGTAAATAGATAAATTGTTTGCATATTTTTACTGCACGTTAAATACAGAAGTATGTATCTGTATGCTTAGCGTTATTTCAAATAGTCAAAACCAGTAGTAGAGTACCGAAGCTGTTCTCTTGTTAAATATGATGCATCTATGTCATTGGTGCGCGGTTATGCTCACACATCTAAAAATATCTCGCACGAGTACAGAAATTCTTTTGCTGATCCAATAAACGCGAAATCGGCTTAACACGGCCAGAATAAGCTTCAGGTATGATTTTTTTAAATTTAATTTTTGTACAAAAATAAGTGCACTCCGTTTCACCTGATGGAAAGTGGCGATGAGGTCGACGCACACCTAAATAATGCCTATTCACTCTCGCCTTGAAAAGGTCAAAGTTATAGCTTTCGGGGAATACGTCCGTATGCAGGGAATTCCAGTCCCTAGCCGCTCGCCATATAAATGTGGAAGCGAAACGCCTCGTGCGAATTCTGGGAATATCCACAACATCCCTATGTTGTGGATATTCCCAGAATTGAACCCCAAACAGAATGGAACCCCAGCCTGCGTCTAGTCCCCCGAAGATGGAAAGGAAAATTCCATCACACACTCAGTGACATATCCTGTAGAATATCGATAAGCAGGCAACTTTATTTTCTTCTTTTTTTTCTTCAACTTTACTTTATTTTCCACGCAATAAGAGTGAAAAGGACAATGCGTGTTTCGTGTCCGCTAGGACCGCCGACGCGAAAAGCACAACAACTTTTTCGTTCATATTACGAGGATAATAAAAGTTTTTCTGAACGGTTTAAGCGATTCCGCCTCGGTAAGTGTTGGTGCTGTTATAGCAGCTGTGAGCTTTGGTCGCCTCGAATTCATAGCCATAACTCTCTTAAGGTCATTTTTATTGAGAGTCAATTCGACAGCTTGATGATAACAAATCTATTGTCTTTCTTATCGTGCTAAGCTTATTTACAGTTGTTATATGTACTAATATTGCAAAATATATCAACAGAGATATATACGTTTTTACTTATCTATAACTTAGTCTATGTTTATCTACATATTTTAATTGTAAAAAGCTTATGATCCGTTGGAGGTCGATAAGAGATATTGCAAATGCAATTTTAATCCTATTTTAATACTGTACTTTGTGCTTTTACTTTAAGGCATGAGTAGACTTAAATGTTATGGCAAAATTTATAATATAATTAGTTATATATTATCATTATCAATTAATATGTTAGAAATGAAGAACTGAAAAAAGAAACAAACTTTTTCTTTTTTTTTAGTAAATCTGTCGAATAGAGTCAATCGAAAATAAATACGCACTTGAATCCATGTACATTTAAGTCTACCTACATTTGAAAAGTTAAAAAAGTCTCTATCAACAAGCAATACTTTTAGGATAAAATACTTTAGTAAATATAAGTAGGTAACACAAACATTTAAGTGAAAAGGCAAAAAAATTATTACCTTTTGTATTATACATTATTGTATTTGGTATCTTCTATTAAAATTATCGTGTATTTGGTGTCCTGTATTAAAATTATCGTGTATTTGGTATCCTATATTAAATTTATTGTGTATTATTCTAGGTGATATACGAAGTAACTAGGAAAGGCACTCATTTGTATGAGCCTGTTAAGTCAGTGAGTAAAATTTGAATAAGTGGAAAAATTGTGGGGTTTTATGTCGTATTGTCTTTTTAGGGATATTTATAAACATATTGGAAATGCCCGATATTAAGACAGCTTTATATTATCTTTAATGGGAATTTAGACATTTGAATGTGATAGATTTTTAATTTACTATTTGTCTTGTTATACTTTAATATATGCATTTGTGTTGTTGCAGCAATATTATAAAATTATCTGCTTTAAAATATAAAACGTCTGTGGTTTAGCGAATCAACATGCGTAGTACATAAAGAGGTCATGGATTGAATTCCCGATTGAACCAATTCAGGAAACTTAATAGATTCGAGTGTGTAGGTACTGAATAGTTGTTTCTTGATTGTCGGGCACATTTTTAAAAACCCTTAATCTTTTTGTCAAAAAGCGTATTTCACATTACAACTTCGACATACAACGTGAATGATAAATGTGTATGGAAAATATTTCAGAATAACGTGGGTAACATAGGAAATAAAATATCCATATCATACAATTTTCTGCGTGTACTTCTGTTTGACTATCTTATCATTTTTTATGGTATTCCTAGAACACGTTTGAATTCCGTTGCATTAGATTACGAAAGGTAATCGATAAACCTTGACTCATATAAAATAGTTCCTGTATTAGATATGATTATTAGAATCTAACGTAGTCACAAATAAGAAGAATTATGATTTTTTCGTTTTAAAGTCGTGCTACACCTACCTGCACATTTAGGGTAACAAAAAAGGAATATAAAACGGTAACGTTTGTATTTATATAATAATTACACTTTTTTTAATGTTAAGTGACGGGACGAACAAGTCTTGCATCTGATGATAAGCTACACGCCTGTCCATAACAGTTGCAGTGCCACTCAGAGCTTTAAATCGCAAAGATCTGAGGGGCACTGCCACTGCGCTCGTCACCCTGAGACATCAGTTGACAAGTCCCATGTGCCTGTGATTTCGCCAGCACCCGGAACACAGTAATTCTGACATTACTGCTTGGCGGCAGAAGTAGGCAAGGTGGCAGTACTACCCTGGGCGAACTCTTTCACAAGGAGTTCTACTGGTACTAAATAATACATAAAGTAGCTATTAAATTAACATCGATTTAGTAAAGTCTTAGGTACTCAATCTTTGTTGAAAACAATCTAAATTAAACAAAATGCATTTTTTTTCGATTAGAATTGAACAGAAATGGTTGAAATTTTGAAAATTGTAACAGTATAACTTTAAATCAAAGTAAAGTAAAAATAAAAATAAACTTTTCAAGTAAAGCTCAATTTACAAGAACACGAAATCAACCTTGAACCACTCGACAAACTTGTATAATCGATACTTGTATGATCGGCGTAAGGTAGCCCAGAGTGCCTCAAACGCACTGAAAAGGAATGGTACGTCGTACGGGAAGGCTCCTTTCATGCACCCCATTACAACAAATTAATTCAAAATAATAATAATAATAATTTATTCAGTACAACTGTAATACCCTAGGTGACAAAATACGTACGAATTATGGTTGTACATAACCTGACAAAAACAGTGGATAGGCCATCAGTCAGTTCCCAAAGGGTAACCCTGTACTTTGGGAGTTGATGACAATCCTCCGCTAGTAAACAGTATTACAAATATTTTACAACCGGTTATGAAGACGTGTATAGAATAGTGTAAATGTAATGTAACTATAGGTACCTACATATAGTTTGTGCTGTGTTACAGTGCGAATCTTTGTTTATTTATTTAATGACAGTCGACTATTATTTTTCTTTTAAAATTAAACCTAAAATAAGCCAGACTATAAAAAAACACTGCATCATTTTGAGGATTTTACTAGTGTTCCGTTAAATGTGCCGGTGTGTGTTTATAAGATTGAAATATAAAATAGGCACCAGTGGCGAAGGGTGAATAAGGTAAGCTGATGTAAAGTGTATGTAGTGTTAGATTAAAGAGCAAATTCCTTAGACATGTCGATGATAAACGTGTTATATGGACGCCTCTGATAAGCATATAAAGCCTATCTACACACTTAAAACTTTGCTTATAAAGCAAACATTTACGCGTAAATGAAAAAAAAATATATTGAACCTAAAAACGAAAGGCATAGTTCTTATATCCATCGAAATAGTTTTTTTGAAACTTCATATAACAAAATATAGTTAATAACTCACACACAGCTGATCTCCGTTGTGCTGTGATAGAAAATGGACCTTACAGTCATGTTCTAAGGGAGTTATTTAACTTTCAAACCATCTTTAAGAATATGAAAACATAAGTGATTTATTCTTTTGTTTGTTCCTAGAGATTTGAGCAATATGGCGAGTACACTAACGGAAACCTAGTTCGCATTTATAAATACTTATGTGCTATGTAAGGATAAGCGAACAAGATGCTCGGCATATTACTCGCTCTCATAAAGAAACGCGTACTTGGTATCCCTTAGTTGTCGCAAGGCAAAGCTTAACCGTGTGATCGGTAGGTACTTAAGATTTTGTGTGTATGTGCCATTTACAATACATTACTACATTCAAAACATGACCATAAAACGTTTTCGTTAACTAACAATCTTTTCTCGAAAACTTTGTATCAGTAATTTTTACTAAGAATCACTTCTTACAATTCTAATTCTACTAAAAATTGTTACCAATCTATTGGATTTAGGACGTCGGGCTTTTATATAATGCTTTTGGGAAATCTATATGTGGTGATTGGAAGTGCTTTCTCTGTTTGATTTGATGTTAAGAATGGCTTTCATTGTACCCTGTGAAATTTGGTGCCGTTTATACGTTTGAACTTCTTGTAACTCGTAAAGATCCTACCTTTTTAAAGCATGTTTGTAGGTTTCGCTCAAACAAGACCTAACCTATGTTTACTATCATTAAAATATATTTTATTATCTGATGAATACAAGCTCTTTTTTCAAAGAGACGCAAATTTTACCTTCTTTATTAAATAAAAAATTTCTAAAGTTCTTTGTTCATCAATTAGCCAACAAGAAATAAAAAAGAAAAAAAAAGACCTGAAGTAATAGAGTGGGATCTTATATACGTACAACGAAATATCTGCTCAATATCTTTGCAAGAGGGTACATAATGTATTTGTGCAATTTCTTTGGTTATTATTTTAGTCTTACATGCTTATTGGATTGCAATTTTGAAAGAAATGTTATTGCTTTTGCTACTGACTTGTATTTCAAAGTGCAATTCGGTTGTTGGATAATTGCACATGAATTATTATTATCATAATCCTAGACAAAATTGTCAAGTTGCGTACAATTTTCAGTCGATAATTACTCTGAAAGTCTTCAATTTTATTATTTGTGATATTGACAACAATGGCCAATACTAATCTTTGACCGATCCGCACTTTCCAATAATCCGTGGTCGAGTGGCTTAAATACCGGTTTTCAAGGTGTTGCCATCTCTGAGGTCCTGGTTTCGATCTCCGGCTAGGTCAATGTGGAAAATCTTTTCTATATTGTCTCGGGTCTGGAGGTTTTTGTGGGACCGTCGTTATTTCCGATTTCCATAACACAAGTGCTTCAGTTTCTTACTTTGGGATCGGCAACGTACATATATGTAGTGGACTGACTATCGCGCGTAACTTTATACAATATTATGTTAGGATTATTATAATGATCATGTGATTGTAATTATCCTACGCCATGTGCACTGGTATTTTTTAACGCATGATGCTTGTAGGTACCAGGGGCACTGTTAATAGTGCTTCTAGGAGGATATATGCTCTTGGCATTTTTGACACAACTGGTGGAAGATGACATGCCTAGCGTGATTAATGAAATGGACGTCGCCAGAGATGTGAGTCTTTTGTTATTCTATTTAGACTACAAAATCCACGTATACATCGTTATGAACTGAAACTGAGAACTGCAGGGAGGGTTTAACCATCTCTAAGCAGCAGGTCGACTCAGAACCTTACGAGAACTGTTCTCGTCTGATTGGATTAGATATCGTACGATTCCTTTTCATTTTTATTCACAATAACCGAATCGAACGTCAAACTGTCGTATTCGAAACCGAACCGAAATGACGTCACACACGTACGATCCCTCGTGCTTCTCGACCGGCAAAGGCTACAAACGTTATTCAAAACACAGTTACCGAACATCCTATTCTTTACAAAGCAAGAATGTAATATGGGAATCTTTTATTGTTTTAAATAAAATCTGGATTTTGTTCAATTTTATTAACTTATTTTAATGCGAGACTAATGCATTCCTATACTTTAGGCCTTTAAAGTCTTAAAAATGTATATAAAAGGATTTTATTTTTCTTATAATCTGTATTCGCTGACTAACTCCGTAAACGTTGTTGGATAACGATATCGTATCCGATTCCGTTTGTTTAACTGACCATGGCTTTGAAGGGTTTTGGAACCTTGACGACAGTTTCGACGTTATCCTTCACCGTTAAAATAAATAGTATAAACTGTATCGAGTTCTTAGGTTTTCGCGATTGTTACACATAGGAAATGAAACTATTTTTCCTGGATTTAAATCGCGTATATGTGTTTTTTCAAACAAACCGACGTTTTGGGCCCTTTACAGGTCCCATGGTCACGGTTGACTGAGGTGGTACAGTCTTTAACCAGTATCTAATATTGATGCAAACCACCTTATTTTTTCAGTATAGTCACAATAGTTATTAATTAAATACCTTATTTTTAATTTTACAAAGAAAACATTCCAATTTACGCTACATTAAGTTCAACCTAATTTCAACAGGGAAGATGGTTTCTCCGTACCACCAGTTTGGGATCCAGTATTTCCTCTAATGAAAAATCCCAAACAGACATAAGACTGCAGTACTAATTAATATGTTTTAGTTTATTCTAATTTCTATTAATAATTAATAATAAATTGAACTTAATAAAAATTCATTCAATAAAATCATTTGTAAAACTGAAATGTTTTCTTTGTAAAATTAAAAATAAGGTATTTAATTAAAAACTATTGAAACTATAGTGAAAAAATAAGGTGGTTTGCATCAATATTAGACATAACTGGTTGAAGACTGTACCACCTCAGTCAACCGTGACCATGGGACCTGTAAAGGGCCCGAAACGTCGATTTGTTTGAAAAACAAATATACGCGATTTAAATCCGGAAAAATAGTTTCATTTCCTAAATATAAACTGTATCTACCTACCGAAGAACCGTCCGAAACTCGACCAAGTCAAAAGATAATGTCAAGTATGAAGATTCATTTGCATCATGCGTTTTTTAATTTCGTCGATTATTAGTTATTTGACAGTAATTATTTCGGAGTAATGTTGGACGGAGAACGGGAGTAGACCTTTGAGTCTTTGACTATCGACGATATGTACTGACTATTATCATTGCACTTAAATGTCTCAGTAACACTATATGGCCAAAATGTATGAATTCCAGAACTACGTAACCTTCAGCGAAGAAACAGCATTGCGGTATTTGCACATAATCCAAGGCACTGAACCACGCGTATCTGGGACAAGGTATCACCTGCAAAAGACAAAGGACCTCAAGGATCTTCTGGACTCCGTCGCGGCGCAGTCTAATTTGATCAGAACTGATTGGCAGATGGTTTCAGGTAGTCTGCATTATATTTTCCTTTATTTAATAGTTATAATAGAATACGTTTATTTGCAACAGTACTTATATTGATCTTGAGTAAAATTGGGTGCATTGTATTGAACCTGCACGCATGTGTGCTAATATTAAAGGTATTTCACATTTGTCTCTACAATTACAAAGCAATTTGCATTTCGAATTGATACCAATTGGTATTTGTAACTACTAAATATTCTTTATTACTTTAAAAGCAATGTGTCAAAAGCCATTTTGTCAATCGCGATTTAAAAGTAAGTCTTTGTAGTGATTTAATTACATTAGATAAATTATTAAACAATTCTTATAAATGTATTGAAGCAGTTATTCTTATAAACGAGGTTGTGTCAATTTCTCTTCATTTTAAATAATCTTTGATATATACACAGATCACAATAGTCAAATAATTTCTTTTTAAATATGTTTAAGGATAAATCTGCGATCGTTGCAGCCAAAGCATTATATATCTTTATGGACATATTATAGCAATTCCTAGAAAGGCAAGTTGTGTTATGGGAGGGGCCAGCCAAGCGGTTGGGATGTCGAATTAAAAAAGAACATACTTCACGTTTCCTAGTAAATAGACCATATTTCCTTTTTAACTAACATGCATACTTGAAATACGTACATAGCGGGAAGCGTTAGAATTCTTAGCTTTTTAAAAAGCGGTCTACTAGATTCAAGCGGGCCGTATAAAGCAAATACAAATCGATGCACCTTTGCACATACTAAATCAACCTGTGGTTTCCATGTTAGTTGAGAGTCTAAGGGTCGTATTCTAGAACTCTACTCAATGCTTAAGTCAGGATTTGAGTATGGTTTAAAGCATTCGAAATCATACTCAAGTCCCTGCCATTAGGGTCGCATTTCCAGTGCTTGTGTTTCAATTGCAATCCTGACTTGAGCATTGAGTAGAGTTCTAGAATACGACCCTAAGACTATGCCGAGAAAATTGCTGGACGAGCACTCTTCAACATCGTGTCCGTGATAGCTCACAGAGAGTTTCTGGGGCTTTCCATTATAATTATAAAACTGTATTATTTTTGTTTTTGCAACGTTCACGTTCGGGTTATTTCGCTTAAGCCTTTAGAGGATGGAAAAAACTTAAGCCAGTCAACTTCAACTTCAACTTTTGTATCTATGGCTCCGTCGTTTTGCGCGACGATTTCGCCAACGTCAGGGTTGAAAGAGTCAATAATATGACATATAGTGTCATTTATTTCTTTTTCATAGTATATGTCAAAATTATTATTAATTATTGATATGTCACCGGCAAAAATAGTTATGCGTATTGTCATCTTGTGACTGCAATTTTGTATAATTCTGGGATAAACAAATGTTTAAAGAAAATCCTTTATACGGTATTGCATTAAAATTCATTCGGCTATCACCATATGGCGTCGTTTTAAAGTAATATACGGACATTTCCGTATTCGGAAATCGAACAAGTTCTTTTATTCTCTCATCAGTTGGAACATTTTAAACTAAGCTTACACCTAAAAATTGAGTTGGCACAGTGACATGGTGACAGTTACAAGTTTTAATTCATATTACTCGGAAAGAGTACCAGATAATGTGAATCCATTAATGATAATTAATGTTTGTGGTGTTATATAGCTATTTAATGAGGTTTTATTTTTCACCCCTCATACGTAAAGTATCGTATGTCGAAATTGCCAAGTTTAAAGGGGAGCGTTTTAAAGTTCTGAAATCACTCATCTAATAGATCACCATAGATCATCTAACCGATATCTAGAATTTTATAATACTCTATGCGAATCACGAGTTTCGCCGAATATAACTGAGAAATACTGCTACATTCACGTGTTATGCTCGTTTCAGTGAATCTAACCTACTTATTTCAGCAACTGATAGTCAGAATGTTAATTTCTACGAAATGATTTTTTACTGTTTCCGCGGGCCTTACGTCAATTCCTTTTTCTACCAGGCGACTATTGGCTCTCATTCACCATACCATACGTGAACAAGTACCAGAACGTATCAAACGTTATCGCTTTGTTGGAAGGCGAGAGTGGGTTCTTGCCCAATGGCACCATCGGGACTTCTTTACTGATCAACTGCCATTATGACTCCGTTCCTTTTGCATTGGGTAAGTCATGGACATAATACAGGACCCTGTGGGATCCTAAATTTTTAAGAAGCTTTCGATAAGATAACCTGCGTTTGAATACGATAAACTTAATGGCATTTTTTGCATCGAATTAAGTAATTAATTATGCAGATTTGTTAGCCTGTCTAGTATAATATGATGGAACGTTATCATAAAACGTACAACCCATTTATGCACTACATTACTTCTTGAAGCATTTATGTACTTACTACATTTCTTCCGTTAATCATTTTTAGGGACTTCGGACAATGCCATTTTCTGCGCAGTGATGATGGAAACTCTGAGCAAGTTGTCGCGGCGTTCACAAAAACTCAGACATAATGTTATATTTTTATTTAACGGTGCAGAAGAAAATCCTTTACAAGTAAGAGTTTGTTTACATATGTCATGTTTGTTGTTCCAATTATTTTTTTTACTTACATTGTGAATACTGAATAATACAACTGATTCCGAAATATTTCTGGAAATTTTCTAGAGGTCATAGATTCTCCGAGTCCACCATACCTAGAGGAATATTTCTGGGTAATTCCTCTATCACGGGTAGTCACATCACAAATAATCTCTTTTCAAAACATTTTCAATCCATTTATTGTAATAGCAATTAACCAATTTTGAGCAAGTGCAAAATCAATGCTTACCAACACAGTTTTCCTCTCAGTGTTGTTTCTGAGATGAGGTCAGATATCGATGTGCCCTATTGCAAAAACCGATAGAATTTCCGTACAATAGAAGCTTTCGTGAGAAACCTCGTCAAGTGCGTTTGAGATTCAGAAAACTACTTTTCGATAGCTTCGCTTTTTAAGTGTGGCGACGGCGGACCCCAAATATTCCCCGTTTTTTACAAACGCTTAAAGAAGCACATTCACGCAATAAGTTACAAATCTTCTATTTTTTACAGGCTAGCCACGCTTTCCTGAAACACCCTTGGGCTCGTGGTGTGACCAACGTAGTAAATTTAGACGCTGGCGGTATGAATGGAAAGCCAATTATTTTTCAGGTACGGAGGTGAAACTGCAATATTGTTGTAGATTATGTAATGTCTAATTATTTTCAGCATCATCATCGTATCGTCACAATAGCCTCATTCTTCTTCGGCGCAGGCTTCCACAGTTACTCCTCCAGTGATTACGCTAGGTTGATTATTTCCGTGCTTTTGACGTACAACAGCTTGAATTTAATATATATATTTTAATAAAAATAATAATTAATATTTATTTCATTCATATACACATGCAGTAAAATCAAAAACAGTAGGTACGTTACATAAAACACTTGTATCTACGATTGTACGTGCTACTTATGTAAAATGTTTAAAAGCCCCGAATCGCAATATAAGCTGCAGTTTGTATTTTGGGATTCAGTGTTCTTGTACTCACTGGCTATCGCTTGGTAAATACAGCATACAACCAAAAAGTAAAAATCAACAGTATAAAAAGTTAATTTCTGTAGTGTGTTAAGTATAAAAAGTACAACAATAATACAATTTAAAAAATCAATATAAATGTATGTCAATCAGGTATCTCAGTAGGTATGTCAGAACATCCAATTCAAATTTATCTTTGTCACTAGTAAATAAATGAGTAATAAAAGGCTTGATATTTGAAATCCGGCCTCGAAGCACACCGAATTTTTAATTGCATTATTTTCAAACAACATTAATGATATAGAGAACCTAAATTTTTTAAATTTGGTTAATAAAACTGTCATCGCTTGCAAACTATTAAACATTGAAAGAGACTGACCCATTACATCTACTTTTCTCAGGCATCAGACTCTCGACTGTTGAGGGCATACAAGCGCGTAGTAAATCGTCCGAGCGCCCAAAGCGTAGGAGAGTTCATGTTTGCAAACGGCATTATTCCTTCCGATACTGATTTTAGAATTTGGAGGGATTATGGAAATTTTCATGGTAAGAATAAATAGTTGTTAAGAATAAGTTACAAAATACAATGCGGTGGACCGCGTCTAGATATTTACAAATGTTTTATTGTTGACAAGAGAATGGGAAATATAGGTATTGCATCAAATTGATATATATATCGTCGGAAAGATCTTAAGGGGAGCTTCAATGTATTGTATCACATCAACGCTGTTATACATTCAGGGAAGACACTTAGGTATATTTTATGTTTATATGAAATTGTTTCTTTTTGCAAAAGATTTGAGTGGGTATGCAAAGGCGACAGTTACCACCTTCCATCAGGTCTAACTATTTCAATACTATATATATATACTCGTAAAACTATTGCATAAATGGATAACAATATTTCAAGTTTTGTCAGATTAATTTAGGTTTGGCAGTAACAGAACCGCCAAATGATCTCTATCGAAGACCTGTTTGAATATTGTAAAAATATTAATTGTTTTAAAAAGAGAAAACAATTCTTCAAGGACCTCTCATTATCTCAGAAGTGAATCGCAGTATTTGCGTGTAACACTCACACGTCCATTCCAGGCATCGACATCGCCTTCGTGAAGTGGGGCCACGTGTACCACACGCGCTACGACCGCACTGATATGGTGAGGACCGGCGTCATCCAGAACGCCGGCAACATGCTGCTGGCCCTCGTGCCCGAGGCCGCTAATAACGCGGAGCTGGAGAACAAGGTCAGTGTGCTGGCGGGCGCTACGACTCAAGTGTCGAATAACGTCGCCGAAAGCCTTTCAATCGTTCGAAGGTACGGAATACGGCTTAAATGATACATTCTTACCGTAAATTCATCCGATCAAAAGCATCTGTAAGCTTTGGAGTGCCGCAAGGCGGCATGATGGGACCCACGTTAGGCGATTTGACCCTTTTGAATCGCTTCATGATTAACAATGCTAAAGTGGATTGGAATTCCTCAGATTGAGCCGGCGTCTGGCGTGTACTTCGACTACCTGAACTGGTTCCTGGTGTCGTACTCGTTCGGGGCGTCGGTGGCCGTGGACCTGCTGGTGGCGATTTTCGCCGGCCTCAGTGTCGCCTACTACGTGTGGCTCGTCGGACCCAGTGAGCAGCTTCCTTTAGTCCCCAATCCAATGTCCTGGATGGCCTTTGAGGCCGATAAAATTTGTAACCAAATAACCTTCGCTGGGAATGATATTGGCAGTTCCGTGCGTTTACGCGTTTTGATCGATACTACGATCATTTTGGAGTAGCTTTTTTTTCAATACGATGTTTGTCTTTTCCTATAAACAGGTTGTTTCGTTTTACTTACCCTTAAAATGTTGCTATTTAAATTAGCTTACGTAATCACCCAAAAATCATCCCTTACAATATTGGGCATGATTTGGAGAACATTACCTAGTACATGTATACATCGCAACATGTGAATTTAACATTTTTAACTAATTGCCAAAATTACAGTTAAAAGAAATATTGCAACGTGTTAAAAATTTCAGGAATGTCAACTGTGCAAGAGTTACTGTTTGCGGTATTAGGGCGATTACTTTCAATGCTGGCCGGAATAGTGGTCGTTGCTATTTTCGTGCCCATCATGGTCGCCACTACCATTCAACTTAGGTAATCATAATTCTACTTTACGCGCCTGCTTATACAGATCGTAAATCCAGCAATAATGTAATCAAAGAATCATTTGTTTGCATTAGACTACTTGAATCAAAAATATTCAGCGAATATTATGAACTGCATACTACTATCATAGACTATTACGTATGCCAATTACTTTGCCTAATAATAGATGTACTAGATTGTAATTACACAGTACTTGATATCAAACTAAGAAACACCTAGGACAAGTGTTAAAAATTAGTTATCTGTATAAAGTGGTACGGGCGGTAACTCAAAACTTGTCAAACAGGACATAAGTTGTACAACTGTGTAGTCACCGACGTCGTTAATTAAATTAAGATCAGTAAGAAACAGCCTGTTGTGAGACCTTACAGTTATCGGAAGGTAATATACGTCCTACGTCCAGGTACCTGACGCAACCCTGGTTGGTAGTCCCTATGTACTGGATGCCGTACATCATCACAGCCGTCTGCGTCGCACAGGCCTTCGACGCCTGGAGGACCAAGAGGGTAACTCGCACTTGTCATACGTAATTAGTTTATAGCGGGCTCAGCAATCTCAATTAAACGGAGTCGACCTAAGTCTCATGGAACCTATTAGCACTTCATGACACACTGTAAATGTAATTAAAGAAGCATTATGACTATGGTGGTTTCCTTCGTCGTCGATATTTTAACATTTTCTTATGTGTGTTCATATTTTTATTGCATTCACTGTCTTTCTCTCCACGCTCTTTCTATTCTGTCTTGTGAAAGACGTTCTTGGGTCATACCTAAACTTTTTTTTCGTTGTTGCGTAAAATAATCACTTAACGTTAAGTGACAATATAACTGACAAAGGTGCATCTAGAATAGCTTCTAATTGTAGCTTTTTACATGTGTAGTGTCTCATTACTCTGAAGGTACTTGCAGCATGGGACCCATAATCTGTTGTAGCAAATATTTATCTTTTTTTCCAGAGTGGCCTGAACCGCTGCATCCGTACAATGCAAGCTCAAGCCGCGACAAGATTAATTCTAGCTTTCATACTATTTATTATGACATGCATACCAAGTACGGTGACATTGCGGTACTTCATCACTGTTCCCTTATTCATCATTTCGACCATGTCTCTGGTGTCTTTGACTGTTATAAGATACGTTCGATTGCAAGGTACGTGTAGACATAAAATAGTAAGATTTTTAATCTTGTGACATTATTCTAGCTAGTGTACGGGATACTAGAATCTTAGCTAGAATTTTGATTGTTACGATATTTTTCTGCCCCTCAAAGTAAATCTAGATCACCTTTGATCTTTATTAACCATATGTTCAAATCATGTGTAGTCACATATGATTTGAACATGGCCAATAGTTGAAGACATTTATGTTGTATTAGCAAAGGAAGATGTTTTAAGCGACAATTCCACTCCCGGCCACGGATCTCTATCTTAGGCTATGGTGAACCGTCCTGATCGGACTTTAGATTATGTCTTTGGAGAATTGAAGTATCTTCGAAATGCAGATAATATTATTCTCTACCGCCATAATAAGCAAACACTGTTTTTTCTCCAAGTACAATTTATTAAATGGGGCGATGAACTGCTGTGTGTTGGGTTGAGGTCCAAGTCAGACTACAGGGGGCCTCAGTGCCTGAAAGCGCGTTCTTCCTTAGCGTGGCAGCACCTGCTGATGGAGGCGCTGTGGTCGCTGCCGTCCACGATGTTCGTGCTGACGCTGGCGCTGCGCTTCAACGCGCTGATGCTGCCGGTGGCGGGGCGCAACGCCTCCGACACGCCCGACTACTTCATCGCCATCCTCAACACGGGCCTGGCCGTCGTGCTGGTTTGCACTGTCGTGAGTCTCGTCATATCGCATCATTTCTTAATAACTTTTCAATATGACAATTATGACGGACGTAATTTCGATACATGTATATTCGATAACCTCATTTCTTTCTTTGTGGGATGGAAATTCATTTTCGACTACTTCAGAATCGATGGGCATCTACTCATTATGCTCCCGTTATAACTTTCTGATCCAGAGTATATCCTAGCAAACCAAATCAAAAACGTTTAGAGGTCAGGCAAAGTAACATAGGTAGATAGCCGTGTTGACAACCTTAATCTGGATCTAAATTGATTATCAAGTAGATATTTAAAGAGTTAAGTGTTAAGTTAAGACTGATGAATACCTGGCCATGATAGCAGCGATAGTAGGCAACAAAATGAGGACACCTTATCGGTGACGTCACCCGTCTCGTATTATGTAAATACTGAGTACGCTTAGTGGCGAAACAAAGATTTTGCGCTACCATTCCGCCAAGTTGTAACTTCTCCAGGAGGATTGCCATCAATAAAAAAAAACGCAAACGCTTTGTGGTTTCAACTTGTCGCTATAAGCCGCATCCGTTAAATCATTTCATATTACGTTTGTAATGTATAAGGTCACCTATGGTATGGGTATTTTTATTTATTTTTGAAATTTTAGCGGGTTGTGATACGCTAAATATGTAGAAAAATTATGTACTACATTTGTTAGGCGTTTGTAATGGAACCCAAATATAAAATTGACAATGCGAATAATTCATTATACGAAGGAATTCTTTCTGAGTGTTCGATCTTTCGTGATTCGACAAAGTAGTGGAGTAATTTCACATAAAAATAATTGAATATCAATTGAATAAAAATTTAAATTCATTATTCACCAGGGAAAAAATGTCATGTTTATTTTATTTATTTCGTTAACGTAGCATAAGAAAAGGGTAGGGCCCACAACGTTGCCTTGAGGAACTACGTAGTTAATGTTAGCCTCCTGATTTGTATAGAATCAATCTGTGCTCGTTGAGTTCTATCTGTATAGTAACAACGAATAAGGGAAAATTGAGTTCTTCTATACTCAATGCTTCAAGTTAGTCAATGGGTAAAGAGACCATGTCGAATGCAGTAGCCAAATCCAAAAATGATTTTTCAATAAAAATATTCAAATATTTTTTTAAATTATCTAATTTTTGACGACAACAACAAACTCAGTGATAATTTCCTTGCCCTAAATCCAATTTTCTTTTCTAAGAATAGATGTTTCGGCAGTACACAATTAGTGATCAATTACAATTAGTCTATTGTTGATAATTATAAAGAAGCAAAAATCAAATGTTTTGGTGAATGTTGGTTTTTTGTCTGGCATTGAACAGCTACTGAGACAATCACAAGAAATTAAAAATAAACATCAAATAGATAAAATTGAAATGATTAAGTGGTACCGTTTTTTATTTATTAATTATCCAATGTTGGTTCCAGTCGGGCATCGAACTGCTATTCTCCCGCAAGCGCCTGTGGATGGTAGTAGCGCCCGTAGCCATCACCTCCATAGTGCTCATGTTCATTCCCTTCAACCCCTACCAGGACGACGGGCCTTCTGTGCAGAGGCATTACTGGTTTGTGAGTATTGCGAGTTTAATTTATTCTCCCAAGGAGCGCTAAATATCGCATTGATTACTCTGTTACTACGCGGTGGAATTTATATAGAAACCGTTCTTTGCTCTACATACAAGGCTCAGAATTCACAGAACTTTGTGAAAATTTTCATACTTAAAAAAAACAAATAATATATTACAGTTGATCCATTATAATGTTTAGCAATATTTTTATACTGTTTTTGTCGCCGCTACCGCTCTTTTAAATTTTAGAACCAAACCTTAACGGACCTTGTAGACACTGATAATCTCGTACTGTTACCACAGGCCCTCTTGACCTTTATAACTCGAATACAATTTATAGAATACGAGAAAGTAGAAATCTCGGCCCGCCATATCGTAGTGAAGTTTCCTGATTAGAATACCATGGTACACACACCACACGGCTGATTAAGAATAATTTCTTCAAATATTTATCTACTGTCGGTAGGCCTGGAATTGATGGGGTCTGTATTACTACTAGATTTAAAAAGAGGAAAAGCTTAGGTTTGCACGTAGTGCTCTACCGATTGATTTATTTTATATGGGTTGGTTAAAAATGGCGCCCAACGTGGGGCGTAAGGGGTGATTGAAAAAAGTGCCCGTTTGCTTGATACGGCGACGACGTACTTAGACGTCAAAGAGATTATATATTATTTCCAGCACTCGGAAATAATATCGTACAATTACACCGGCTCGCAAACGGAACGCGTAGCGGGTCTCGTGGTGACGAAGCACGACGCGTACTCCACGGCGAGGGTGCTGCCGGCGCTGAGGGAGAACGGCATCAACGTGGAGGCCCGCACGGACTTCCGCGACGACTGCCAACGACACGTACATTGCAATTTGCCGCTCTTTAGGGTGCGGTTTGGGCCCGATCTGTGAGTATTTTGTTTCTAATATTTTTTGGACGAATTCACAATGCAACCGACTTCGTACAATTATAAGCACAAGAAAAACTGAAGTTTTCGACTTTGACAGTAATTAATAAAGAAAGGTTAAAAATGAAAATGCTTCGATGGTTTGGTCTTGTAAGAATGCAAATGTGGATGGACACATTGGGATAGGTAGACCTGAACTTATCTGGATCAGATTGGGGATGTCCTTGAAAGAGACCATGTTAAAAGTGCCAAGAATAAACGGGAGTATAGCTCATTCCACATCAAACCGAACACTTTTTAATCGATGATTATCTGCATGTATGTTTAGGATCATGTGACGCCCTGTAAGGGCATGGCAAATGTTTATGTCGTTCATCGTAGATGAGAATTGTTTTCTTTATTTTAAGGCTATACATATATAAAAATAATCTAGGATGATCCCTGTGACAGTTCATAAATATCTACAAAATATGACCTTGTAACGGTGTGCACTAATTCAATTTAAATAAATAAACGATTTGTTATTATTAATTTGTAAACGTATTAACAATATACATTTTTTTAAATTAAATACTATGGGGAAATCCGAAACCATAGAAGATACAAGGAAACTGTCTTAGGAACCATTAAAGCTCTGGCCATACAGAGGCGCGGGATTTTCTGTAATGTACGAGTTTATATGAACCCTGCCACACAGTCGATCAACACTAAATAATATTAATAATAGACATTTATTTCAGGCTTAAAAACCCTTATACAACATAATCATTCAATATACATACTTAACAGATAAGACTTTGTACTAAATTTTACCATTGGATCAAATAAAGCAAAAATATAAAATAAAATAAACTAGCCATCGTCTGATGTTGTCAGTGCAGTGCACGATAATCCAGAGCCGAAAAATAGAACCGGTTACATCCTCCACTAGTGCACTCAATATTGAGTTCTTGCTATCCCGCAGGCGAGCCCAAAACGAGGCTATACGAGTTCTGATAATGGCATAGAAATCTAACAAAAAAATTAATTTTATTCATTTTTATGAATAACTCACGCTGGACCTAAAATTGAACATGCACAAATTGTTTTCACAAAAAAGACTTAGCGGTTCCTAGACAATACACAGTTTCTTTGTATCTTCCATGGTTTCAGATTTCCTCATACTGTTCCATTAAAAAAAATACTGTATACGTGGGGCGGACTACAAGTTTACGACATGAATAAGAAAACGATACTGTAGAAGGTCAGAAATGAATTTATTATAATTATTAATACAAAGATCGAAACTCTCTCGAAACACTCAGAAAAAAACACTCAGAAAAAAATCCTTCGATCCGGTCGGATTCGAACCGACGTCTTCTTGCATACCGTGCCAGACGCTATACCAACTAAGCCACGGAACGAACCAACGGACCTCACGAATTCCTCTATGTGCTTGCGTCGGGTCTTTGTACTTGGTCTTTCAACGACTTTTTAGTCGTAGCGCCATCTATGAGAAATCTATTACAGATTTATCACCCAGTTAGTACCTTGATCGAAGGAATTTTAACTGAGTGTTTTTTCTGAGTGTTCGATCTTTGTATTAATAATTATAACAAACTAGTGGAGTAATTTGACAAAAAATAATTGAATATCAATTCAATAAAACTTAATTAATGAATTTATTGTTTCTTAAAATATTCTCCGTTAGCGTTAATGCACTTTTTCATACGAATGAACCAATTTTGAAAACATTTATGCCACTCCTCCGTGATAATCTCTGAAACATATTTTTCATATCTTTCGACAGCCTCTTCGGGTAATGAAAATCGATGATCGCGTAACTGGTTCTTAATTTTTGGAAATAAATAAAAGTCACAAGGTGCTAGGTCGGGACTGTACGCGGGATTGCTCATAAGGTCGATGTTGTTCACCTTCAAAAATTCATTTGTCTGTCTGGCCGTGTGAAAACTGGCATTATCGTGGTGCAAGATGATACGGCATTTACGGTTATTTTTACGGAGTTTGTCAATAACTTCCGGCAAACAAATCGTCGTGTACCAATCACTATTCACGGTGCAACGATTCTCCAAAGAAACAGTAGCCACGTGTCCATAATAAAACACTTTGCACGCACGCCACTTTGGTTGGTTTCGGCTCATCTCAAAAACCCATACTCTCGATTGCTGCTTTGTTTTGGGATCGTAACTATAAATCCACGTTTTGTGACCTATTACTATGTCCCATACCAAATTTGAAGCCCCTTCATTGAATCTGGTAAGCATGGCATTGCACCAAGTGACGCGATCCGTTTTTTGAGCCTTAGTCAAATTGTGTGGAATCCACCGAGAGCACAGCTTTTTCACACCCAAATGTTTGTGTAGTGTTGATTGTATTTGACTCATGCCTATGCCTAAAGATGCCCGAATCTCATGGCATGTCACATGTCTGTCTGTTCACAGCAGTGGACGGGCGACCATCACGAAATTCGTCACTAGGATTCACACAACCGCGTTTAAATTCTGCAAACCAGCTATAAATAGTCGTCTTGCATGGTGCTTCATCGCCAAAAGCAGTTTGAAGCTCCGCGGAGCTGTTAAATTACACTTCACAAGTCGTAGAAAATCACACTACGAAAATTTTCACGAGTTAAATTCATGGTGATATCGAAATCCAAATTTCTAAAATGACGCCACAGTGTAAAAACAAGTGACAATCAGATGAAACAAACTGTATTACTTTTTAAATATTGTTTATGAAAGTGGCCAGTTCCGGAAACTTGTGATGTTCAAAATCTAACTTGTACATTTTTTTTCGACTCGTGTGTACGACAGTACTGTAGTTTGGCTGAACACCTGAGCGAGGTTTTTGTGACTTCTTGCGACTTGCGATAAAAATGTTTCTTTATTTTTTTTGAGGTAATATTATTTATTTTATATAATATTTTTTCTTACATTTTCGCGATTGTTACACATACGAAATGAAACTATTAATACGCGTTTTAAATCCGGAAAAATAGTTTAATTTGTTATATTATGCGATCACATGAAAAAAAGAGTTCGGTTTGATGTGGAATGAGCGATATCGTCGCCTCACTTCCTCAAACTCGCATCTTAAAGCACAAAGTACTTGAAGTGCAAAAAATGCATTGTAAGTATATATACAAATTTTGCAGGCTGTTTTCATATCACATTTCCTTCATATTCACAAACTGGCTTTTACCTATTCTTAAAGTAATGCATCCAAGTTAACACCCCAAATAAGAAATTGTAAAAAAAAAATTAAATTCATTCCATCTCCGAATAATCACTCTTTCTATAATACGTATTTGAGAAAGTGAGACATCGAATTATATAAAGAGGAGGTGGTAAAAGTAGGAGCGTAGCAAGTGGAAGTTTATGATCTCTGTCTCCCCAATGAGAGACAAGCGTGATGAATATGTATGTCTTTTGAATGTGTAGCCAACAAAATATCAAACTTGCAAATGTCAATAAAGTATAATGGGTTGAAGACTTGTTGTATGCATGCAAGCTGTATGGTTATAAACCATCCATAACGAAAATAATTTAAAAAAACAACTAAAGGCGCCCTCATATTGACGCTATTTTATGCGTCCTAAATGGTCAAGTTGAAAAATGTTTAATATTTCTTGTGATTATTTTGTAAAATAGATAGCTACGTGCTATGTTATTTTTCACAGTAATAATAGATTGTTTTGTCATAAATGTGATTTGACATATTCCATCTTTTCCTGTGTTTAATGTGAATGTTGTTTAATTTTTAACTTAAAAAACTTACTTACTATGTTACGCGAATGCTCCCGCATTTCTGTACCGATTTTGATGATTAATTTGGGAAAAAGGGGACCCCAGTATTAAAAAATAATATGGCTAAAGCTGAGCAAGTCCCGATTGCACCCGACGCGACACGCATGACGGTGAATTAGGTACTGCTTTATCAATTATTTTAAATTTTTTTTAATTGTTTTAGTTTTATTGGTATTATATCATTATTTATTTTAGAATCTCGCTTCTCCGTGGGCCTAAAAGATTAAATTTGAAGGAAATATTCCACCTGTAAGGGTATTAATCTAGGG